TGTGTGACATGGTGAGTAGCACCTGAATCTAATACCCAAGCTCTAGGAGACACTGCTGGTTCTGTAGATAATGAACAAACAAGCATGTCGTAATAGGAATTTGAGTAAAGAGGTAGGAAGGTACCCGAAATCTGTGAGATTACAGGTACAGAAGTTGAAGTCGAAGCACAAGGCTGAGGAGATGTGGGAGGTTCAACAACTGCAGAATGAAGCTTGGAACTCAGATACGAAATCATACTCTGTATTTGATCATTTGACATGTCCTCATGAGAATCTCCATGATCAACCTTCGGATCAGGATTAGACTGAATGTTTGTTGCAGCAAGATTTGTAGACCCAATGTTCTGAGGTTGCTTCCATTTTGGACCAGAACCAGGAGGGTATCCATGCAACTTGTAACACTTATCAGCTGTATGACCAATCTTATGACAATGTGAGCATTTAGGTTTCTTAAATCCACCTTGAGCCAAGAATACTTGAGAATTATCCGGAGTAACAGAAGATGTCTGAACCTGGAAAGCAGAAGGATTGGTAAATGAAGAAGAGGAATTACCTCCAACCATCCTCTGACTTTCATCTTGGTCTAGCATGTTGTAGATCTCTGTTAAACACGGTCTTGGTTTCATATTCAGGATTTGACCTCTAATATTAGCAAAATTGTCATTCAGGCCCATAAGAAATTGAATGATTCTGCTTGTTTCAGCTTCTTCCAAGAGCTCCTTGACATGATCACAGTTACACTTCTTGACTGTGAGAATCCTGGTGTTAGCCAACTGTTCCCATAGTGTCTTCTTCTTAGTGTAATAGGCTGACAAATCAAGATTGCCTTGCTTGAGATTACCAATGGCCTGCTCAAGTTGATACTTCCTTGGAAGATTACTGACTCTAAATCGCAGAAAAAGATCATTCCACATTTCAGCAGCATCCTCATAATACAAGATGCTATCATAAATCTCCTTATTAACCACGTTCAATAACCAAGCCTTCACCATACTGTTACATCTACTCCAGATTTTGAATAAACGATCATCAACATTAGGCCTAGGAAGAGATCCATCTACGAAACTCAATTTATTCTTCGCATCTAGACTCATTCGCATAGCAATTGACCAATTGTTGTAATTCGTACCATCAAGAGTATGAGAAACAATGGATAGACCTGGATGATCCGCAGAATGAAGGAAGAAAGGACTATGAGCATTATCAAACGATTCCATCCCCGTAGAAATCGCCGATTTGTCTCGATTAGCCGGAATCTGAGTGATCGGAGTTATCGCGATGTCATCGCCACCTGGAATCGAAGATCCAGCACGAGTCTTCATCGGCGAGTAATCCGATACAGGAGATTGATTCCGAGCTGGTGTTTTCTTCTTTTGTTTCGCCATAGTTGCAGATCGAAGCTCAGATGCGTAAAGAAACTGAAATCGGAGCTCACAAAGGTGATTTGAAGCTTCAATCGATAATCAATCTTCGCAAATTTGGAATCGTCGCAACAACCGGAGCAAGATAATGAAGAAAAACAAAGAAAAGAAGGAAGAATGAGAAGATTCCGATCAACGATCACCGGAAAAATAACGGAAATAGCTCTGATACCATATTAGTGAAACATGACCGAGAGAGAATTTGGGAAAAACTCATATTTCTCATTAATGATTCAAGAGGTTGTTACAACGTTCATATACAACACAAGCTCACTAAACCAGAAATAACCACATGGTTAAACCCTTAATTAGATAATAAACCGGACAATTCCAGAGTCCTTAACCAATGCTATTATATACAAGTATATGTAACTATATACATGTCAATAGTGGTATTACAAACTTTTGGTGGTGATGGTTGCATTACTGAGATGTAGATTTTATAGGGTCTGGGAAGAGAGGATAACAATGAGATTGAAGTGGCCATTTAAATCAAGGGTAGTGGGCAATTAAGAAGAGTAACTGGTTACCGTTATGCTTAATTGCAAAAACCGGGAAGACTAAGCGGTTTGAGTTAGTGTCCGTCAATGGCTACGTAGGGTTAAACGTAGAAGAAGAAGAGTTCGTGGTGTGTCTTGTGATGGAGTTGAGATATATTTGTTTGGGCTTTTGTTTTTTCTGTTTGGGCTAAAGTTTCAGTTTTAATCTGAGCCCATTAATCGTAGATGGCTCCTAATTATTATTTTTAATTCGTGTTATAAGACAGGTTTGAGTGAGAATTTTTTTTGGTTAATTTGTTGTTGACGTGGCATCCTCTTAGGTGGGTTTTATTTTGCTGATGTGGACACTCTCAGAAGCCTCAAGTAGTCCCTTTTATTAGTATAGATAGATTCCATTTCATATAAGACCATTCAAGGGAGAAACTAAACAAAAGCCCAAAAAAATCTAATGTGTGGAGAAGCTAAACACAAACCCAAAAAAATCTAATGTGTGTTAGGGTTTTCTTTGGAAAGTAATATAAATAGGATTCTTATTCTTATGTGACCAAAAGATGTAATTCTGAGGATTGTTTTGAGACAACTCTCATTCAACATATTTATGAAATATTAATCCACAATCTCTTTGTTTTCGGTGTCATCTAAATTTTTTTCCCTCTTTTTATATTTTTGCACTAGACCTGCAAAATATAACCGAACCGAGATTTCCGAACCGTTCCGAACCAAAATTTTCGGTTTTCAATTTGACTTCGGTTAGGAGAGCTGAACCGATCGGAAGGTTTGTAAAATGTGTTCGGTTATCCGACATTTTCGGTTCGGTTCAAGAGAACCGAACGGTTAACCGAGATCTTCATCTTCTTCCTCTACTCTGTCGGATCTGCTCTTCGTATCAGCCACCGTCAAGCTTCATCTGGTTTTGTATTGGCGGCCATCAAGCTTCATATGGTTTTTAGGGTTTTGTATCAAAGGTGGAAGCCGAGTGAAACGCAACGTTTCACTAAAGGCAGATTTTTAGCTTGGCCCAAGTTTCTTATTTTTCGATAGCCCATTTGTTGAAATTCAAACTAAATTAACCGAATAAACCGTTATTAAACGAAAATAACCAAATTAACCGATTTTAACTAATACAATCTAAAATTTTGGTCAATTTCGGTAGAACTTGATTAACCGAAATAAACCGAGACCCGAACCGAACCGATTATTTATTCGGTTAATTTCGGCATACATTTCAATAACCAAAATAACCGGTACGGTTTGGTTCGGTTAAACCAAACTCGCAGGCCTATTTTGCACAATAAAACTCTAATGAGCTATTTCGAATTATAGTATTTTGACAATTTTCTATTTCATTAGCTTAAATAAATCATTTGTTGGATTCTCCTATAGTTCATACACCAAAACTTTTGCATTGTGAGAAACTTTAGATGGCATGGGGTACTTGAGATGCTCAAGATGAGACATGTGGATAATGTCGAATGCCATTTGACGGTTCTTGTTCTGATTGCAAACTCCCTAGGGATGATTGCCCTCAAAGTAAGTTCATACACATGTAGACTATTACGGTTACTGGGCAGTTTGGGGAGCTTACAACCATTCTTTTCATCAGATTGTATACTGAAGTGGGTTAATTCACAGACGAGCCAAGCTCATTACCCTATGTGCCAGAGAGGATGGAAATACATAGAGTAATTATAGTGGAGATAGAGAAAGAGAAAGACTTTATGTTGCGCCTTGATTAGATATCTAGCTTTGTATTCACTATGTAGAGATGTGTTAAATCATTATTCCGAGTTTAGTACACCCTTGTATGAGTTCTAATGGATGCAACTACAAGTAACAACAAAAATGTAATAGAGATTTTGGTCCATGACATGTGGCTAAAGAAGAAAGATAATTTGGTTCATAGATATATTCTTCTTTTTCATATTTTAATAAGCACCCAATATCAATGTATTTTTTTTGTTTTTACATCCTATAACAGTAAAGCTCTAAAATCAATAATTTCGAAACCTCTATAAATTAATAATATCCAAACTATGATATTTTCATAGTTTATAAAATTATTAATTTATCAATATATTAGATGAGCTAAAACACTTATTTGGGATCGAAGATATTAATCTATCGAGCATTAATTTATAGAATTTTTACAACGCCCAAATAACCAAGTGCCCTATGCTTAGAGTTTGCATACTGTAAAATAAAATCTTGTGTTATAACAAATTTATGCCCTTACTAGTCCTTAATTTAATATAGTGCCATTTGAGTATCGGTCCAAGTGGACAGAGCAAAGGTGTGATGGTCAATTTTACCAAAATATCTTTCTTTTTTTTGGATATTAGGAGGTGTTTTGGGCTTTTAACACTTGACGGATCTCTCTAGGGTGAGTGTAGCCGTCGAGTAGTCTACTTCTGCAAATTTTCTAATGAACCTAATGAAATCATATATAGTACTATTTTTAACTAAACTAAATAATTATAATAATAAGTTTTTTATGAAATACAAACAAGAAATTATCAAATTAGTACCTTCGATTTTCAAAGATAAATCACATGAACAACAGATAATTAATATTTGCACAAGCCAACAAACATGTAATGAAAACCCTTAAAACTAAATCTTCATAACATGCTGGAGAAGGCCATATAAGAGACTAAGAATATATATTTTTTACATTAAAAATAAAAAAAAATCAAGTTAGATTTTATGCTGAATATTACCACATACACATATATAATAAAGTCAAGGCTGTGATGGTGTGCGGACGTATTTTTTGCTAGTTTTTTATTTATCGATAGTTATATTTTAACGAAAAAAAAACAGTTTCTTGGTGATTTGCGCAGATCTCTAATATTATATGTTTAGTTATATATTTAATTATAATTGAAAGACTAAAAAATACTAAAACCTTTTTTTCTTTTCAAAATGAATAAGGGTCTTACTGGTGCAAAAGAATTTTGATTCCACAAGAACGAGAGTAATTATTATTTTTTGTTATCAAAAGTAATTTGTTTTTCAAAAGAATAGTTCCTACTTCAAATTGCTGGGGACAAAAATTATTCTATATTTAGGGTCCTAAATAATTCAATTGAAAATTTTCTTCTAAATATTGTATTAGTCAGACTTTAAACTTTTCGAATAGAAAAAAAAAAAAATTATGTAGTTAAAGTAATCAAATACATAATTAAGTTAAAGATAGAACCTTTAACCATTACAACAATAATTTTAAAATAAACAAGATTAAACATTTGTCTTTCGAAATGAAGAAAACACAAATAAAAACAACTGAACACTTAAACTAGAAAATCTCCATCTTTTGATTAGAGATTATTGTTGATGTAAGGATCATAAACACCGGTGGTGGTGGTGGTGATGGTAGGCATGTAACTGGTGGAAGCAAGATCAACGACTGGTAGTTGGTGGTAGTTATAGGGGTTCCCATCCATGAAAGGAATGCTTGCACGCCCTCCAGCATAACCAATTTGTTGTTCCACCATCGGATTCATGAATGATTGTTGTTGATTTGAATTCAGATTCAAATTCAAATTCAGGTTATAATTTGAATAATCCTGATTCAAATTCATGTTGTAGCTTCCTTGTTGAATCTGATCAAACAAATTATACGGAGCCTGGTATTGAACGTTATTTATATTCTGATTTTGAAAAAAATCACAAAAGTTAGTAGGAACATGGTGTTGAATCGGCTCATGGTGATTTTGATTCATATTCATTTCTTGATATTGAATATGATCAGAAAATCCATTGGGCGCAGTTACCAGAGATGCATCCGCACCAACAGAAGGAGTCATATCGGCCACAAGAACACTAGGACTTGCAACATCAGGAATATCTACAACCCCAATTGTAGCAGGAAAAGGAGAGGCGGAAGAAGACTCACCGGTTTCATTAAGGATCTCGATCCTTCCGTTAAGCTGATCAAGATATTGATTTATATAACATAGCAAATCTTGAAGGTCTTTTGCATCGTAACGATAATCCGACATCTTGCCTTCAAGACAATCAAACATAAATCGTCTAACCTGTAACTCTGTGTTCTCCATAACCCGGTTCTTTAGTTGCTCTTTTGCTTTGGTAATCCTCTCCATCAAATAAGTTTCTTGACTCATCATCTTTTTAGCGCGGGCTGTCGACGGCATCTCCATAAACTTCGAAGCCACCTCTTTAGCGCCTTTTGTTGATGGCCATGACTCCGGGACTGATTGGTATGGACTGTAGATGAGAGCACAAGCTTGGACACCACATAGAGTTGACAACTCGTTGAGTTTCTTCAATATCCCGTTCTTCCTCTTCATGAATGAGGTTTTCCTTGATCTTTCATTAGCTATCAAAGATAGATTTACCTTCTTCATCCCCATCAATTTTTTTTTCTTCTATGTGGTTTATTAGTTTGTTGGCACAAAGACTGTTTATATAGCAAAGAAAGGTGCTTCTACTCTCTAGGATTCTTATCACTTTGGTGGACTCATTAATTCTAAATAACAGCCAGAAAATCTCTTATTAAATTAATTGACTACGTAATTCATTATTATCTATATAAACATATTTGTTCTTATATGTGTAGCTGGTGCATTTAATGTAATATTTTATATTTATAAGTTTTGTTTTTACTAAGACTAATATATCTTACTCTCATTGTTTCTTTTTTACTAAGAGTAATTTTTAGCTTAATTTGTTCTTAGACTGTGAAATTTTGTAATAGTACTAAGTGTTTTTTTTTTTTACTTTTAGAATAGAATAAGATATTGCCAATGAATATATAGAATCATGGATTTACCAAATTTCTGAAACTTTGTTATCTAAAATAAATTTAGAGATGTAATGTGAATCTCACACAAACACCAAAATTTGTAAAAGATGTAACATGCATCTCACAATAACACCAAAATTTTAAATCTATCTTCTGAGAAAAATATTTTTTATAAAAATTATATTACATTTAGCAAATATAGGTATAATATGGGTAAAATTAAGAATTTAATACATTAATATGATTTTCCCCTTTTTTATTTGCGTTGACTAGATTTTGAGGGAAAATTAGGTATTTTTCATTGAACTTTTAGAAAGAAAATCTACCAGCTAATTTTGAGAAGTAAATTAGCTGGCATTACCAGTTTTTGTTTTCGCTGGAAATTACAATACAATATCCAAAAACTGAACACGTGCTCTTCTTATTAAAGGAAAAAAAAAAACCCGATTGTTTGGACGTTTAAGACTCCAATTTTTTTTTGTCAAAATGAATATGTTCATTTTCTGGAAAATGGGCCTATCTTTACTATATTGGGCCTAAGATCCAATATTTACGATGAAACATGTGTTCTTCCCTTCCTTTACTATCTTCTAGTCCATCTATTCTGATCTACGCCGCATGTATCCAAGAACTTCGTCTACTAGAAGCTGAAACATCAACAGTTTTTCAGAATAAGGTACTTAAATACATGTGTTAATTCGTACGAAATTCCACTACTTTCTACATAATTCATGAGTTTAATTTTTACAAACGAAACTGAAATTGGAGTAAATTATAAAATGCCTATATATCGTCCCCTAAACTACTATAAATTCACCATCTCCCACCATCCCCAAACACAATTTCCACTTTCCATCCGAAAATACTATACATTCTGAAAATGGTTGTAGTTGATGTTGTTGCAATTCCTGCTGAAGCAAACTATTTTGCTTTTGATGATTTACATCTTGGTCGCTCCGCTCAACAGGTTGTTGGTCGTCTAGTTTGTTTTTGGGATGCTCGCAACATCAAGAAAGATGGTCAATTCATGGGGATAGTCCTCCTTTTAATCGATGAAAAATTAAATCTTCTTAGATGTTTAAATGTATTTTAGTCTCATATATAATTGAAAGCCAACTAACCCTTAAATGTTTTTCATACAGTGCTCAATAATCTATGGTTTTATCCCAACAGCTCTTAGCTCACAATTCCGTCAAGTTTTGAGTTAAGGCGTTTTCTACAATGTTAGAGGGTTTGAATTGGGACAGTGCACAAAAATCTACAAGATCACTGACCATCCTTTTCTCCTCAGTTTTTTCCCTGTCACAACAATTGTTGAAGTCTCAGATGTTGGCCTTACAACTGAGCGGGACAAATTTATGCTACGTAACTTTGACCACCTACCAGCTCTTGTTAACACCAACATTGAAATTCCTGGTAATATTCTCCCTTAAAATCTCGCAAAATTTTAAACCTGACCTATGATTATAACAATGACCTAGATGTTGTAGGCCAAATCTCCATCGTCTAAGGGTCGAACCAGAATAATCCAACTTCCACTCAACATTTTGTTTTGCGATACCATTTTGATTCGTAATCCTACTGAAACTCTTTTGAAAACTACCATGTATGGCAAAATCACTCACTCAAACTCTGATTCATCATCTTTTGTATTTTATAAGGTCTTTTATTGTCTACTTGTCACTATAGGATGATGTTGCCGTAACCTTTCGTGCACATCTAAACTCTGGCGATACAATTAACTCGGTCATGCTGTGATAACTACCATCAACCCAAAGATGTTTGGAGGTTAGTACCGGATGAATTTATTTGCAGCTATGGATTTATTTGCAACGAATTATCAGAAATCTAAAGAAAGAACCTAACACATGCTCATTCTTACTGTTTAAGGTAACCTCTATCTCAACTCCACATCCGCAACACGATTCTTTTTTGACACAAGCATTCAGCCAATCTAGGAGTTTATCAAAATGTTAGATTGCTATCATTAAATCTCTCCTAAATCACTTACATAAACACAGACTCTTAAAACCCTTATATTGCTTAATGGATGCAGGTTGGGAATAAAAAGTGGAGAGACTATTGCACGTGCTGATAAAGCGGCTGGATTGCGAAAGAAAGAATTGGTGTCCATTCATCAGTTTCATGAATTCATATTTAAAGCGGATGAACATGTATTACAAATATTTTCTACATAATTAGCTTCCAAAATTCACTACCCTCAAATCAAGTCTAATGTTTCGTCTACCATCTTTCAAAAGACAAAAGATGCGGAATAATTTCCTCTACAATGCTGAGGTGTAAAGTGTACTACAAAAGAATGGGTGGTCTTTCGTGTCATGTACTGAGTGTAGCCGAAAAGTGGACAAAGTTCGAAATGCTTTACGCTGCAACAAATTTGTTTCACCAAGTGTCACCGGAGTTGTGAGGTACACTAAAAGATCTTTTTTTATCAAACTCTGAAAAACAAAAGAATCATCCAAATATTACATATTTTCCAGGTACCGAGTTGAAATCGCTGTTCATGATGGTCATGACGAGGCAACATTTGTGGTCTTTGACAATGAAATGACAAAGCTTACCACCAAAACTGCAGCTACCCTCATCCTCGAGGACGTAAGTTATTAAAATACCTTATGCATCTTGTTTCCAGTAATTCAAGACTTCAAGTTCATAGTTCTAAAGGATTTCTTATCTAAAATACTAACTGTAGGGAAATGGAGGAACAAGAAATGAGATACCAAGCTGTATTGAAGATTTAACTGGCAAGCAATTACACTACAAGAAAAACGATTATTAATAGCACTTCATGATAGCAGTTTATGTGTTTCTGCTATAATTGTCTTATGCCTGACTTTTTTTATAACGTTTCTAAAATATAAACGCTATGATATGTTGAATGGTAAAAACTAACATGATCGTGCTTAATTTTTTTTATCTAATTGCTCTCCAATAGCATATACGAATTGTAGAACGTCATCATAGGTTATACCGCGAAAGAAAATTTCATTGCCGCCAAAATAGAAAAAATATTATACCAAATTAATTTTAAAAAAATTTCTTTTTAATTTATGTCTCTAACGTTAAAAGTTAAAAGTTAAAATGATTGTTCTTCTTTTCTATCTTATTTCACTCTCCCTTCACCTAAACAACTATACAATTAAACAAATCACGTGTCATCTCCGATGAGACTAGTCTCATGATCCTCTTCCAGAGATTCGATTCACATACATACCAGCCATGTCACCGTCTAACCTGCTCCTTCTCCGTCGTCACCATTTATTCAGATCTGAGTCCAGAATTGTCACGTCTTGGATTCTTCCTTTTCTCCGAAGAATCTCTTCTCCTGCAATCCGCCTCGAGACCCAAGAGAACTCTAGATTTTGTGTTCTATGTCACTCATCTCTTTGACAAACTCCTAAATAGTTTGGATCTCGCCTCTTCGATTCTCTTTGGTATGACTCTTTTGTCTCAGATCTGTGACGCTTATAGTTTTATTGTCCTTTCAAATCATTGTTATTCTTGTTTATTCGATCTGTTTTTTTCTTAGATCTGTATGCTTGTTATTTTCTAATCTTTGATGTTTCGATTTTATTGCAGTATTGTTTAGTCTTTACCAGTTATGGCTCACCGCTTCTACAATAAACTGAATGTGTTCGACGAAATGACTGACTAAAATTTAGCCTTAGGAGAAGTTCGAGAAATGCGAAGCTTATGTAGCATCCATGTAACTTCTGCATATTGGTATTGTCTTTTTGCGCTAATCTCTTTCATGAAAGGTGACAAGTGTGAAAGCTGATAATTATTTCTCAAAGGTTGTAGAAAAAGTTGACTTCTTGTTAGATTTAATCTACGTTTAAAAAATCGCTAGGCGCTAATCGGGCGCTCGAGGTGGGCCTAGCGCATAGCGGGAATATCGGAGATTAATCGGGGTTTATCGGAATTAGTTTTTAATCAATTTTTATATATTTTTAAATATTTCTAGTACAATTTAAATACTAAAATAATATAAACTTTTATCAATAATTTTGCAAAATTACTTGATAACATTCATCCTAAATAGGTATTCAAAATACAATTTAAAGTTCCAACATATTATACAAAAAATAGTATGGTCTTGATCTTGAGACACACAAAAAATAGTGAAAGATCACAAAAAAGTGAAGACTACTACTTCTTCCTCGTTTGATTTCTTCAATGATCAAGTAGTTAGCATATGTTGGACTTCTTGTTTAGTTAGGACTTTTTGACTATCTGCAAATGATCAAACAATTGAATCAAACGAAGGATGATAGAAACATCAAGATAAATTCAAACTGTCACAGTAAAAAAAAAAACCAAGTAATCACAACAACAACAACGAACCTTAGTAACCCATTGGTGTGTCACAAAACTCAGGAGTTTCATGGAACACATCAGGTTCAAATTCCATGTCAAGCATTACTTCATCTTCTTCCTCAGATTAAAAATCATCATCATAAAGCTCTCTTACCTTTGGAGATTGGGTATTAGGTACGACACCAACATTAGTAGCTTGGTCTTCTTGATGTTGCTCCACAATCCAATCTTCGACAGTTTCTTCATTACCATTATCTATAATCACATCTATTGCTTTCTCTTTAATTTTTTTTGTGCTTGTTAAAAAGTCTTGCATTGAATTGGACATAAACAAGGCTGTTTAGACGATTGACATCTAATCTATTCCTTTTCTTAGTGTGGATCTGCAATTTAAGAAGAGATATTAGAACATGGGCTGAAACATAAATAGCTATATAAAAACAGAGATTAAAATGTTGAATTAATCACTAAGAACAAAGATTTAAAGACTAACCGCTTCAAAACTGCTCCAATTTCTTTCACAACCAGAAGAGCTAGAGGTCAAAGCAAGGACTCTTGTTGCTAGCTTTTGCAACGTAGGTACATGGCATCCATATGTTGCCCACCAATTCCCTAAATTTACAATCAGAAGATATCTTATACAAGAACATATCTTATAGAAAGACATAAATGTTCAGAAAAAACAATTAAATTCAAGTGAGAATACAAACCTGGATCAAATGTTTCATCATTTTGTTCACATCCTTTTAATGCTAAGTTTTTTTCCAAAAGAGCCACATTTGTTCTTATAGAGATTAATCTCATCATTCACTACTTTATTTTGCTTCTCAAAGTCACCATAATAAAAAAATTCAACACAAGCAATAAATCCCTCTATGATCCCCATATCATATTGAATATTAGGATCTTTGTAGAAGTAGAATGGATTTAGGAAGTAAGCAGCAAGATGCAAAGGAGAATCCAACCTACCTTTCATTTTCTCATCCATAATCTGAAAGATAGGTTTGTAATTCTTTTCCAAATGATTAGATGCTTCTTTGATAGACTTTTTAGCTTCTAAGATCTCTCCATAAATGAACCCCATAGAAGGTTTCTTTTCCCCATCTGCTAGTCTTAGAACCTTCACCATAGGGCTGAACACTTTTAAAACCATAAAAACACTACTCCAAAATGCAAAGCTCATAACTGTATCAGATGCTTGTTTTCCTTTTGCACACTTAGAATGCTTGCATTCATGCCACTCATCACTGCCGAACATGGACATCAATTGTGATTTCTTCTCGTGTAAACTTTGTAGAGTCAAGAAGCATGTAGCGAATCGTGTTGCTCCTGGTCTAACAATATCCCTCTTCTTTGTATGTGCTCTCATCATGAATAATGTTTTGTGATGAGCATATACAAAGACAGTGAGAGCTTTAGCTTGACTGATCACTTTTGCAAACCAAGGCAACTTAGAAACTCCCTCAAGCATCAAATCGATGGTGTGAGCAGCGCAACCTGTCCAAAATATATTCGGTCTCATCTCTTTAAGCATCCTTCCAGCTGCTACGTTGTTTGTAGCATTATCAGTCACTACTTGAACAACCTTTTTAGCCCCAATATCTCCAATGCACTTCTCTATGTACTTGAAGATAAATTCACCAGTGTGAGAGTCTTTAGAAGTGTCCTTTGAAGAAAGAAAACATGTACCTCCTCTTGAATAGACACACAAATTCATTATGCTTCTCCTTTTCATGTCAGTCCATGCATCTGTCATCACGGAGCAGCCTTGTTCTTCCCATTCTACTTCTAGACTCTTCAACTTTTTCTTTGTTCTTTCTTGCTCTTCATTTAACAATGGTTCTCTCAGCTGGTATTGAGTAGGAGGAACCCAACCAGGTCCAAATTGTCCCAATGCTTCACAAAATAATCTGAAACTTTCATTATCAATCGCATTGAAGGGAATACTTGACTCGTACATCCACCTAGCAGAGTATTGGCGAACAACATGTGTCTTCTCTTTAGAAATTGCATCATGTATATTCTGTTGTCGTGTCCGTGCAGCTAAGGAAGCTTCAGGGTTAATGTGGTTCGCGAACTTATCCATGGGACCTTGGAAGTGAGGAGCTGTTTGAGTTCCATGTTCTTCTTGCAGTTCATCATCCAAATGCGGTTTATTTATATTCACCTCTGATCTAAGCTCTTCATCATGCTGTCTCTTTCTCGTTTTCTTGTGTTTTGCTTCTTTAAGTGCATTCATAACTTAGCTTGATCCTCTTTTGTTGACAATGGACAAGCAGCCACATTCCCTCTTTGATGACCAATATGTTCTTTCATCCTAAACACTCCACCAGACATTTCTTTTCCACACAACTTGCATTTCACCTTGTCTGGAGTTTTTGGATTAACGCAATTAGAATCTCGTATTGTTAACTTATTTTGTTTCATCTTTTGTTTTACAGGTCGTCCATGAAATGCAGGAGGAGTGAGTAAGCTTTACAATTTCAACTTTTTTAAATAGGCAACACATATTACATCTCTGTTGAAGTTTGAAGACAAGTGTCGAGTGGAGCTGGAGAATTTGAAGTCATGGTCAAGATGAAATCGTGTAAAATTTATAAGAGTTAGCAGGATATTTAAAGTTCTTGTAATATTAGAACAAAAGATTTTCCTTGTATATTATTATTATTATCATTATTATTGTCTTTGTAAATTTAAATTGGAGTTTTTAGAATAATTGAAAATCAAAATTCATTTCAAAATTTAAAATTCAATTCAAAATTCAAAGTTGAAAATATGTTCGCTAATAAGAACATCGATAACAAAATATACTCGTTATTAAACAATATTATATTGCATTAGACAACACGCTATACTATGTAAACAAAATATAGCACCACAAAAAATTGCTATCGGAAACCGTCGACCTATTATCATGGGCGCAGATATAGCGCTTTCTACCCCGCTATCGTCACGTTAGATAGCGTTATTCGTCCGCTAAAGATAATATCACGAAGTTATTTAGCAACTTTAAGTGTATTAACAATTAAGACTGTGATAGTGGAAAACATGGGCTTTAGATACAAAAATCAATTGACTTATTGTAAACGGTATTTAATCATCATTGTAACCATTGAATCAAACATAATTACTGTTTAATCAATGATTTATATTATTTATATTTATTTTATCTGTTAATTAATAATCTATGTTTTAGACAATGACATATACAATATATAAACACAACCAACTAATTCTACAGAATTTTAACTTTTTATTATTTTATAATCTATTATTTAAACACAACTTTTATATGTTGAACATATATGTATTAGAAAAAAAGTTTCCCACACAAATTTGCTTATTCAAGATTTAGTTTAAATTATTGAGGTCTTATCTTAGTTGTCTAATTGGGTAAAATAATCATATAATAAAATGAAAAGAAAAATAAATTACAAACTACTCCCTCAGTTTCAAAATATAGGATGTTTTATAGATTTTATTTTGTTTTATTATTTATGATGTTTTACAACTTTCTATGCAAATTATAAATAATTTGATATTTTATGACTCTTTATATTATGTAGTCTTGTATATCATTGGTTGAATTTTCTTAAATCAAGTATTAAATGATAGTGTTTTTAAAAAATAATAATTTTCTTACATTGTGTGTTTTTAACTAAAACATCATATATTTTGAAACAGAATGAGTATAAAATAATATCACGAAGTTATTAGGTGCATTGCAAAAATACATCATTTCCTATGCATTTGTTTCAAAAATATTCATTCCTATTGTCCTTTTTAAAAAATACCCCTTCTTATGTACAAAATACAAAATTACCCGCCAAAATATTTTTTCTCACCAAAATTCATTTTTCCCGCCGAAATTTTTTTATAACGGTTAAAAACATTTGGCCCCAAAATTTTTCCGCCAACTTGTAAAATATTTTTAAAATCCTTTTAAAACTTTTGTAAATCTTTTAAAACCCTTATAAAATCCTTAAAAATCGTTTAAAACTCTTGTAAATCCTTTAAAACCCCTTATAAAATCCTTTAAAAAGTCTTATAAACTATGTTGGATGGAAATGGAAATGGAAACGGAAACGCGTAAGCGAAATGTTTCAGAAACGGGGAACGATTTTTTTCTAAAGTTAGGGATTGGAAACATATATATAGGTTCTATAAATATATATAGAATATAAATATAAAACTATGTTAAAAAATAGTTTAAACAATACAAATCCAAAACATCAACTATTAAATAGGTTACTTAAAATTAAAAGATAAAGATTAAAAGATTCAAGTTCAATTTAGACCAACATTTTCATTCTCATGTTCATTAGTTTCATCAAAGATCATATAGAGCTGCCTCCAAATCTGGTTTGTCGAGAGAAAGATCTTCAAACTCAGAGTCTTCCAAAATCAGTTATATGTATTATAAATCTGAATATTTCCAATTATTATTTATTAAGTTTCCAAAGTCAATAATAAGGATTTGTCGCGTTTTCAAACATAGATTTTTAGGAAACGCGTTTGTGTGACCTTTTTCGTGTTTTCGAAAAGTTTTCGTTTCCGAAACGTTTCTAAAACGGGAAACGGATTCAGAGAGAGTTTTCATGCAACATAGCTTGTAAATCGTTGTAAAATCTTTAAAAAAATTCTATATCTTTTTAAAAATTCTTTTGAAACCCTTGTAAATCCTTTAAAACCGTTTAATAACCTTTGTAAACCCTTATAAAATCATTTAAACCCTTATAAATCATTTTCAAATCTTTGTAAATCCTTTTAAAATCTTTAAAAACTTTGTAAAATACTTTAAAACACTTGTAAATCCTTTTGAAACCCTTGTAAATCTTTTAGAACCCTTGTAAGTCTTTTTAAACTCTTTTAAAATCCTTGTAAATCCTATTAAAAGTTTAAAACCCTTTTAAAACCCTTTTAAAATCGTTGGAAATCTTTTTAAAACTCTTTCCCGCAAAAAAAAATTTGGCGGAAAAATTTTCGTCAAAAATTATTTTGGCGGAAATGTTCAAATTTTTCAATTTATTGACTTAAATATTTTTTAAATTAGGGTAAAATGGTCATTAAAAATTAAAAGAGAGCATAAATGTAAATGATCAGAAAAAGGGCATTTTTGAAAAAAAAAATATCAAAGAAAGGGCAGGAAAAGGAAAGATCGCTCACATATGTGATACATGTATTTAAATCATTGAAATAAACAAACATCACAATTTGCAATCTTACTATAGTTCGATTTATAAAATATGGATCCAAAAAAAGTTGAAATAAGTGGCTTCCTTGAGATCTGTTGGGCATCATAGTTTCAAAAGTGGCTTCTACCTCCGCCGAATATTACCACAACTACAAAGAACTAGGCGCATCGCCTAACGACGAGCGTGTGATGAAAACACTCAACCTCGCTCCATTGGTGAAAAAAAACCATTAGAATCAATCAAATACCTTCCCCTCATGAAAAAATGTATTGCAAAACAATCCATATGTTAACTATATTAAAAGTATAATACGATACTTCCTCCTTAATGACTCTATCGTAGGTCTCTACTATTTGGGTGTGGCAACAAATTGAGGGAAGATAGAAGCAGTCTATTTGTATGTCATATTATTACTCTGCGCGGGAAGAACCGAAGAAGGGAAAAACTATCCCAGCCAGTTTAAATGGACTGAAGACATTAACATGGTTGACAATTGCTGGAAAAACATCAAAGCCACACTACATGAGATTAGAGTTGCAAGAAAGAGAAAGTATTTTATATCACTCAACAGATGAAAGCAACAAGCTTATGTCACCTAAGAGACCTCGACAACACATGTGCGCAATGTTTCTACTACAAACAAATGTATAAGTTTATCTTCATGGTATAACTTAAACATTGCATCTAAAGAGTTGGAAATTCGGCTTTTAAATTTTCCTAAGATTCTTATAGAGCTATGGACTATCACAGTGTCAAAGCAAATTTATTTTTTTAATATCTTTTTCATTAGTTTTTCTATTCCTCCATGTTGTAAGGAAGTTTCTTAATCAAATAAATTCCAACTCTTACATTACTAGATTATGTACCCGCACATTGCGCGGGATTTTAATTTAAAACTTTTATCAATGCGAATTTTTAAGTAAAAATCTAATCATTAAAATTTTAAAAGATTTTTCTTTACTCATGTGCATTATCTTTTCAAAATAGTAAATAATTTCTCACACTTTTCACTACAATTTCTCTCGTTATCATCTGTGATTAACTCGTCGTCTCCCTACATCTACTCTCTTTTCACCTTATATTGTCTCACATATAATATACTCGACTTTGAATTAGTTCTCAAGATTATATCTATTTTCTCCTTCCTGTCTTTGAATACTCAATTCTTTTTAGAGAAATTGTTAAAAATGCCCCTTTTTCAATACCCCTTTTCAAAAATGCCCCCTTTGAGAGTCCATTTTTAAGTTTGCCCTCTTTTAATTTTTAATGACCATTTTACCCTTATTTGAAACAAAATTAGGTCCACAAAATACAAAATATTTTTTGGCGGGAAAAGTGATCCCGCAATTTTCCCGCCAAAACACTTGTAAAAAACCTTTAAAATACCTTGTAAAATTTTCCCGTAAAATTTTTCCCGCCAAAAAATTTTCCCGCCAAAAAATTTTTTTTGCGGGAAAAGTGATTCCGCAATTTTTTTTTTTGGCGGGAAAATTTTTGGCGGGAAAAATTTACAAGGTATTTTAAAGGTTTTTTACAAGTGTTTTGTAAGGTTTTACAATGTATTTTAAAAGGTTTTACAAGGTACTTATTAGGTTTTATAAGGTATTTATAACTTGTAAAACCTTATAAAAAACTTGTAAAACCTTATAACTTGTAAAAACCTTATAAAATAGCTTGTAAAATCTTATAATATCTTGTAAATACGTTGTAAAACCTTTTAAAATACATTGTAAAACCTTATAAATACCTTGTAAAAAACCTTTAAAATACCTTGTAAATTTTTGGCGGGAAAAATTTTCCCGCCAAAAATTTAACGCCAAAAAAATTGCGGAATCACTTTTCCCGCAAAAAAAATTTTTTGGCGGGAAAATTTTTTGGCGGGAAAAATTTTACGGGAAAATTTTACAAGGTATTTTAAAGGTTTTTTACAAGGTTTTACAAGTGTTTTGGCGGGAAAAATTACGGGATCAATTTTCCCGCCAAAAAATATTTTGTATTTTGTAGACCTAATTTTGTTATATTTCCTTATATATTTGTGATATATTTTATTAAAAGAAGGGTAATTTAGTCATTTTGTACATAAAAAAGGGTATTTTTAAAAATGGACAGCCAAAGAGGGCATTTTTGAAAAGGGGTATTGAAAAAGGGGCATTTTTGTG